TTAAACAAAATAACCTTTAAGTTTTTTTTTTTTCCCCCACACACCTAAATCCAAAAAAAAAAAAAAAAAAAAAAAAAAAAAAAAAAAAAAATAACTGATGGGTGAGCTGAATAGAAAGACACATGCAGAATAAGAGGACACAGGAAATTGAAAGATCTACCTGAATTGTATAGTCAGACATCCTGCTGCTCCAACATTGAGCTATTACAGAAGACTAAGTGCTTAGGAAAAAGCGGCTGTAGGTATTAACAGCAGATGTGCTGTGAAGTAGTGATTTTGTGAAAAATTTCTTAAGATTTTTTTTCCCCCACTGGATAACTTTACTCAGATTAAAGTTTGGATTTCTCAAAAATGTTCATTACTACTGCAATTAAGGGTTCATTTATCTTAAGGGTTTTTACACATCTTGACTAGAACTGGATGAGAGTTGCTGGGTTTATTTCCATATGGTATTTCATACAATTTGAAAAAGTTATTCTCTGTTGCAATTGTTCTGAACATGGCTTACAAAATAAAACCACCGTGGCTATACAAAAACAAGGCAACCTGCTTGGACTTTGAACGAAGACGACACAGACTTTCAGCTCATTCAGCTGAATCCCAGATAAACCATAACCTAGTTAGGATATCCTACTTTACACAGAATATTAGGTGTCCTGAGTTATTAGTCCTACCAATCTTTCATCTAAAGTTGATTTTACCATTAACAGCCGTGAGCTGATGCACATGAAAGCAGATGCGCTGTCCAAGGGACTGCATTCTGCCCCTCCCCGGTAGATATCACGAAGAGACACGTGATAAACGCTCTGTCTGTGGCTCCTGACAGTCGCTGGATAAGCTGAACACAGAAACCCGACTGCACCTCCTCTTCTACAGAGATAACTGGATTTTTTTCTTTATTTTTTTTCCGTCCCGCGCTGCTCACCAACTCCATCCACTCCCATTTTATATATCTAGTTCTTCTTCATTCATACCGTGAGTCACATTTGGAGGACACGGTATTTCAGGTAATTTCTCCTAAGCTTTTAAGATTTGAGCGGAGTTTGAGTGAAAGTGGACACATCTCTCTCTCTCTCTCTCTGACTCTTTCCCTCGCTCAGGCTGATGCTGTGATTCACTTGAAAGCAGATCTTGATCGTCAAAAGAGGATTTTAGAGTCGGGCTCTCCAACAGACGCGGAAATATGGACGATGCTGGTTATTAGGAGTTTTTCCGAATCGTTTTCTCATTTTCTTCGTGCAACTGTTTAGGGGTCCCGTGGAAGTAGAGGTCTACGCGGAAAGGTAGAAGGATATACTGCATATTGCTCAAGCAAAAAAATAATAAATAAATATATATATATTAATACTTGAATAAGTAATTAATCCCACAAATACGTAAATATAATCCCCAACCGGTTGTGTTGTAGCGGTAGATGTGACGGTATGGGCTATTAGAGGACGGAGCTTTTGAGCGAAACGTGGAATTCCGATGAAGATCTAATTTATGAGATAAAAGCATTATCATCTTTGAAATCCATCGCCGACACTTATTGTGCAGTTTACCGAGAAAACTCAGTTTATTTAAAGTATAATTTTTAATTAAAGCCAGCGACCAACCTTTCTATTTGTTCGACCAATATATTTTCTTTATTTGAAATGCTGCGGAGAAATTAAAGAGTTTTGCTTCTTTCTCAGTGTAATATTCATTGTTATTTTAGATTTAAAGAAATGCCAATATAAGTGAAACTGGAATGCAATGATATGACGGATGGCTATGAAAAGCACAGTTAGGGATTCTGACTGAGATCCAGAGATTTTTGGGAAAGGTGGTCTTTGTGGTTTTGTGTGTGAGGGTGACGAACACAAACCGACCATTGTGAATCAAGTGACGCACTTATTCTCATGTTTAGTGTTCAGCCGGGAGCAGAGCATTCAGGGCATGTTTAACGGAATGCTGAGGTAAATGGTCTGTAGATCTTGTCTCACCCCTCCTAATTGTAAATGTTCCCCAAATACAACATCCGAGTGATGCATTTGTCTTTGTTCATCTTTTATTGTAATTGAGACCCAAAATGTGAATGTTTTCAACAATTTGTGACTTTTTCCCTTCAGAGAGGAAAAAAAAAAGTATATATATATATATATATATATATATATATATATATATATATATATATATATATATATATATATATATATATATATATATATATAGCGCCAGTGAGATGAACTCATATGTGTGATTGTCAAGTGCAGCAGCTTGCTTCCTGGAAAGAATTGGTGATGGTAATCTAATGATACAGCTTGTGCTTATTGTGACAAAGGGCTCCCTGGCTATACTTCAACTTAATCACAGTATTAGTCTAATTCTAGCCTGAAGGCATTGCCAAAGTGGACTTGGAAATGGATATGTTGAAAATGCTGATGCTGTATTAAATCTGCTTCTTTTTTTTCTTTTTTGCAGAGCGCATCAACGCAGAGAAGTGCCTTGACAGGCAAACTGTGTCTTATGCTGAGCTTATCAGCCAACGTGACTCCTTATGGCATTTTTCGACTCTGCTAGCTAGGACACGGGGTGAAAAGCCCTAAACAAAAATTCCAACGGCTCGCCAGAGAAAATGCACTTAAACATGAAAATTACAGTTGCTATTTCAACTTTTCATTATTACATGAAATAGATACTGTTTGCGTAGCCAGGAGATATCTGAATCACATGCTTGAAGTAAGCTATGGCAGAGAGAACCTTCGAAGAGTTTAAACTGTTTTGGCGAGAACAGTGAGATATTAGGCCACCGGCCTGGACAGATTTAAGTAATGCTGTCTGCTCCAGGAAGCAATGTTTGGCTAAATCAGTTGTCAGTTAAACCTGTGCTAACATGTAATCGTATACCTTACAATGCAGCAGTTCACACTTACAAATTTACTTAGGCAGTCAGTTCTACACCAGACTTTTATCACAGTTGACCCAACATACTTTTTTGCGTAACCTAAGATACATATATGTAAGTTCATAAGCGATTACTCCTAACTACAGTCTACCAAGTTTGGAATCGCACAATGGTTGTACAAAAGCTGCACAGCGCCCATCTCATATGGGTTGGGATCCTCATATGCTGCTTCATGGAAATAGGCACCTGTCTAGAATTTACAGGTACTGAGGGACAGTGGGCTAGGTTTCCAGTGTGGAATGCATGTTGTGAAAGTGAAATGAGCTTCAACATGAAAACAAAGAGCTCCCACGGGGTCCTTGTTTACTTTGACGACGAGGGATTTTGTGACTTTTTAGAACTTCTCCTAATAAACGGCAAACTCAGCCTTCGCTACTCAATCTTCTGCGCAGAGCCTGCAACCGTGGTGTCTGACACGGCGGTCAACGACAGCCAATGGCACAACGTCACGATTAGGAGAAGCTTTCAGAACACAACCCTTTCTGTGGATGGCGAGATAAAGTGGGTGGAAGTGAAGTCGAAAAGACGAGACATGACTGTCTTCAGCCATTTGTTCGTTGGTGGAATACCGCCGGAGCTAAGGTCTGTGACGTTGCACTTGACGTCGGCAGCGGTTAAGGATCAGCCACCTTTTGCAGGATGGATAACAGATATAAAGGTCAACAACACGGAGTCTGAAATGATCAACAGCGAGGGGGTCTTAATGGATGTCTGTGGGACAGCCAACATGTGCTTAAATGGAGGAGTCTGCAGTTTAATTAGCAATGAACCGACATGCGACTGCTCTCACACTGGCTTCCAAGGGAAGGACTGCAGTGAAGGTAAGGCCTGGACTTTGTAATTCAGCACAACGTGGTTTTGACATTACACAAATTAACCCAAATTGTTGAACTCAACATTAGCTCAAAAGTAATGGATTCCCTTCCTTTATCTGGGTAAGCTCTGGTTGTGTGCTATTGATCTGCTATACAGTTGTTTGTAAAGTTAAATCTCCTTGAAGGCCTCATTAGCAAGCAATGCAGGTAACTTTCATCCCCCAAAGGTGTCCTCTATAACTATAAAGCAGGTCCGTGGGGATCAGTTGACCTATAAAGTATCTCCAGTGAATTGCTGCAAATTAAAGAGCAATGATTGTCATCATAGTCGATGGAGTAAACATGAGTGATATCATAAAACAAATTAGATGATGGCAATAGAAGAGAACCCACATGCTAACAGGGTGGGGTTTATGGATTAATGAGAGGATTATAGTGTTATAGTGTTGCTCAAAATACACAGAGCTCGACACTAAACAAGCATTTAGGACAGTATTTTGATTGCATAAACTATAAATAATATAATTTTAAATAATAATTTTAGTTTGAAGTAAAACATATTAATTGAAACAAGCAACAAATTATCTTTATCACAGCTTTTGATTAGACTTTCAGGAAAAGACAGTGTTGCAAATAAGAAAAACAGGAACAATAGAGCAGTTAAATATAAAGACAAAGGGAACATATAAGTCCTTTGAAGGTAATGGAAATAAAACAATTAAAATATCTTTCAGTGCCTACTGCCTGTATCTGCAAATTTGCATGTTTTCTGTTTTCCTTTTTTAGTTCTTATTGTGGACATCAATGGATAATCATTCTTAAAAAAACATTGTTTTTTTTTTTCCATGCAGCAACAATGTAATCTGTTTTGTGACTTTTTCACGGCATTAATCTTTTCGACTATAAGATCACTGAGCTATTTTCAAATAACTTAGATCTATTGCATAAATTATTCTTAATTAATCCCCTTTAATTTTTTAGGGTAGTATAAAAACTGTCTTACAAAGAGTGCATGCTTAATACTGTTTAATAATTGTTTGTTGATTGGTCGTAAAATGTTTTATTAGATTTCTTTACAACCCTTATGCACAGACACAGTGAATAATTCCCTCTACAGTAAAGTTGTTTTTTTTATTTCTACCACACATTGTTTCCTATTCTAAACTAGTTGGAATATTCTATGAACCTTTTCCTTCTGTTTCCCATGCTGAAAGCTCTGGCTTAGAAACTGAAAAAGCGGTGCTACGTAGCACCAACGATCGACCCAGAACTCCTTCAAACATGAGCAGCAAAGCAGGCTCATCTAGACAAACCAATCAAAATGTTGGAAGGACCATGTGCTAAACTTCCAAGTTGACTGTGGTTGATTTGCTTAATTCAACCTTAACATTCAAATTATTAAAAGGCGTCACATTTTCTGTGATGCCGTGACATAACTGATATAACGTGATATAAGTAGGGCAATACTTCATAAAGAGCTGTTGCCACAGTTGCTAATTGCTTAATTTAAGTTTTAAATATTGCAAGGTAAGGTTAATAATCCTTTCCTCATGCATTGTGTGTAACTTTTGTTTTTCACCACACCTGGTGCTGATCAGAAGTAAACTAGTGTAAATGTGAGGCATTCACAAACATTGCTTGTAAGATCCACCCATAGATTATCTATAACCACTTCTTATCCTTGAGGGGTGAGTAGTCCCACCCAGCAGTCATTGGGTGAGAGGCAGGGTCCACCTTGGACAGGTCGCTGCTTATCATAGATGTGGCATTATTCAAAACAGTATTAGTAATTTAAGATGGTGATATTAGAGCCTGGCTTGCAGGAAATACTAAGTAAATTTTTGATATGTGCCTTTCTTCCATCTCCTTGCATTCCAATCCTATTCAGAGAAAAATCGTATTAAAGGTACTGAATGAGAGCCTAGAGATGTGGCGCTGAGCACATGCTTTGATTGTGTAAAATAAATCCAGTTCTTTTACACAACCAGTTAATAAATGGTTTTAGCTCGAGCAATGGTTAAGACCTGCAACCACTTTTGAGAAAAAACCCTACCGCCCTATGACCTCGATAGTATAACTCAAATATAATGCATTAGTTATTTCTTTACATCAAGCAGCCTGTATTAGTTCATCTAACAGATTACATTCATAAATTTGAAATGAAACATTATTGTGGCCGTATATGTGCTTGGACCTGCCACTAATGTTTGTGTAGTTTCCATTTCAGCTAAAGGCATATCAGAACATGATAATGACTTTGCCATTTTAAGAGGCATTTAAAGTGTCTAAACAAATCTGTCTCAATACTCAAGCATCAGCAATATTCACTGCCCTTTCAGTTCTAACATTGCAAGGTATTGTTGGTTGTGGTCCTAAATGAATTCCTGGAGAGAGCTTTCTTCTGGGTGTGCTATTTGATGTTTGTCACAAAGTTGTTTTTTGTTTTTGTGAATCAGATGAAGAAATTGTGATTGTCACATGAGGGCATTTCATGACAAAAGACTTGAGCTTAAAAATTTACTGATGAGAAAACATTATTTATTTTTGCTACAGGAGTGTTGAACAGTCACAGTCAGTGGGGAATGGAGTCATTACTATGACGGTCTGAAAGCTTTTCCTTATTGTTTAAAAGCCCTTTTGAGAATCTGCATCATCATAGGCTGTTGGCTATAATGGGGGAAGACATGTCCTGAGAGTTACTTACTGTATATGAAGCATAAGCATGCTTATAAATAAATTATTTTGCAAGTTTCAATAGGTGTGATTACAAAAAAGTGGCATGTTTACCTCATTCTGATGGTCTAAATTTAGCATTGTGCATCTGTTCACTCAGTTTAGATATTTTCAGTCTAAGTATGAACCCACTTTTCTGACCTGATTACAAACCAGCAATCGGTGTAATGTGCCGATGTCACTTTTCTCCTTGTGTTATGCTTCTGGCCTCCTAGAAAGAAATATGCAAATTATGAAATAAAAGATGATTCTCTTATATAATTAGAAATTGCTGCCTTTTTGTAGTACTTTAGAAAGCATTGGTGCTCTAGGAGTTTCAAGAGAAATTGCGTGGCCCTGATTGGTTTGCATTAACAGTTTTGACAATATAATAAATACACCCTTATTAAGTTGTGTTTTTTCAAGGAGACAGAAAACTTCACATCCACGAAGCATGACCCAAAACCAATTTACACTTGTTAGTTGTTAACTTTGCTTTATGGAGCAGAGCAGGGCTGCATAGAAGAGGGCCTTCATCTTTTTTGATTAAAAAATTGTTGCCTGTGGCTGTTGAGACGGATTCATAAAATAATTATAAAACACACCAACCCTATACATCTGTAAGAAAGAGCACTTTTACAAGTAGCAATAGAATTGGACTGTAAGTACAGAGGGACTCCTGAAATTACCAAAACACAATATAATGCATAATTGCAATAATGCACAAGTCAAAATAAAAAAAAAGTAAACACAGTGTTTGCATATTATTTACACTTGTGAAAGAACAAGGAAGTTAGAGCAAGAGTGGAAGGAAAAATATCTTTCTTTCTCACCCTATTTTATTTCTCAGCAATATGTCGTGAAATGTTTTCTAACCTTTTGAAATCTGACATAGAAGAATTAACTCTCTTCTAGCTTGACTTGATAGATACTCAACCTCACTCACTGGCTTGAGAGCGTGTCTCTGAGCATCAGTTTTCAAGTTGTGCTACAGATGTTCATTTGGATTTAGGCCTGGACTGTGCCCGGACTGTTAACAATTGTTTTGACCTAAATCGTTGCACTGCAGCTCTGTTTGCCTCTCTGACCCAGTATCAACCCCTATGCAGCCTCTAAAAGATGATACAACCTGCCTTTGCTCGACAATTGCCCATTATGATGTTACCACCAACAAGATGTCTGTAGTCGCCATGAGCCTTAATGCTGTCCCTGCCCAACCTGTCAGTTCAGTAATTTTTTTTTAGTAGTTAATGACAGCAGTAGTTATTTTAGTGGCTTCATAGGAATGAAAGTTAAACAAAGAAACTCTGAGCCAGTAGTAACATCTATAGGAGACAGGAATATGCATAGTTTAAGCGAAAGACATGGCCTACCACAGAAATTCTGGGTCTAGTGAGAGAGCATAAAGTTATTGGCAGCAAAAGCTCAATTTATAATATCTGCAGGAAGATGTCACAGCTAATCAGCGAAACCTGGAAGTAAACCTTACTAAAAAAAAGTTTTAGCCGTAGCCTTCTAGGTAGGTTTTTGCCTCCAAGACTAAAGCTGTTTCCACAGGTGAATTCGAGCATTCGAATATCTGCCTCCCTTTTTACTTTTAGAAACTCTGGCGTCCATCAATAGCCCTGCAGTGTGAGAAAAAAGTATTTTGTTGGGAATATAGCAAGCTGTTCTTTAATATAAGATGGACCTCTATTATATGCTTTATATATATAATAGTTTCTTGGATTTTTCGTTGAAGAGTGAAAAACAAAAGAGTTTCTACTTTCAGTTTTCAACAGAACTCTTGCTGCAGCATTATGGATAAGCTGAAGGCTTTTAGCTAATTTTAAACTTTGAACATTTTCATAACTTTATTTCTGATCTGCCTGGTGTGTTCCTTGATTTTTGTAATTCAGTTTGTTTTTTAGTCAATCCCTCAGGCTCCCACAGAGCAGTGTGGGCCTTTTGTATTATGTTAATGGGTAAACACAACATACCACACTTTCTTGGAGGTTCTTAATAGCTAAAGATTAATTATTTGACTTTTACAATTATGCTACATTGTGTTGCTCTGTTTGATAAAATTATCGTAAATTACTTTGACAGTTGTGGTAATTTGACAAAAAGTCCAAAGGACTGCACAGAAAATGTGTAAAAAAAAAAAAAAAAGTCAAATTGGGATTTGGATAATTGGGACTGAAACTATCTCTTTGTTTGCTGGCAAGCTCTCAAATAAACCATCTCATCCATGTTAGCATCAAGCATTTAGAAGTGAAAGATAAATGTCATTTTAAAAAAAGACAGCCAAGCTG